ACAATCACACACCCATATACCCGTACACCTGCACACCGGCACACCTGCACACCCATATACCCGAACACCCGTACACCCAGACACACTTGCACACCCATATACCGGAATACCTGTATACTAGCACACCTACACACCCGTACACCCGTCCCGCAGGCTGTCTGCCCGGGAGCCCCAGGGTGCAAGATCACGGCGTCCCTCTTGCGGGTGGATGCGTTGCCATGGGGTGGAATCTGGTGAAGCTGGGGGGCTCGTGAGCCTCACGCGGTCTCACCAGGCGTGTGTGACCAGGAATCACGGGGGACCCGCAGGAAAATCATACTCCCTCAGCGGAGAAAATAGGGGCGCAGAGACGCTCGGTGAAGTTGGGGCGCCTCGGGGCGAAGGACTGGGCCACGTCGCTGTCGAGAGAGTGCAGGGTCACGCGGTGGGGGGAGGGGCGGCGAAAGTGGCGTTGCGTTGGTCTGGGGTACGGGGGTGTGCTGGGGCTCAGTCAGCTGTAGATTTCACCAGCACCTCCCAGACCCCCGGCACACTCCTGTACTGTACATCTACCAGCCCTCCATCCCCTACAGCTGTAGAATTAACGAGTCATTAACACCCTGCTGTTAAATTAACAAACCATCGATACTCAGCTGTAGAATTAACCAGTATTGTTACTCTGCTGTGCAGTTCACAAAGCCTCCGTACTCTCCTGTACATTAACCAGACATCAATACTCGGCTGTATAATTAACGGGTTGTTAACATCCTGCTATAATTACTCAGCTGTGTTATTAACAATAATTGCCCAGTTGAATATTTACAAGCCTTCTATACTTTTACTGCATAATTAACGACCCATTATTATAATTTACATAATTCATTAATAATAATATAAAGTAGCCATTACTACTCTGCAAAATAACTAACAGACAGGTTTCGATACCTTGCTGTATGATTAATGAATTATATCTACTCATTTACATAATTAACCAGGCACTTCCATATGCGGGCAAAGTTTTTTGTTACACCCAAGTCAGACTCTGCTTGTTTAGTGACACTTTGCAGCTCTTCTCCAAGTTCTAAAGAGTTTGTGCATTGGCTACGATAATTCAGACTCACCAGGCATGATCCATTGTCTACGATAATGTATTTTGAAGGCAATGGACAATTTGCAGCTTTCACAATTAATTGTTACTCACTCTCTTAAACTTTCAAAACTGTGTGCAAGAAGTCGCATATTATGTCTTCATCATTTTCATTGACGTTATCTGCTGTTAGAGCTACCCCATATTCCTTACTGAACAGGTCTAGCATCACAGTGCCGACTCTACCGGTCTGTCTGCGATGTCTGTAACAGCTGTAAAAATAGAGAGTTCATACTTGTTCTTTCTGTGACATTGTAGGACATTGAAAATTGGCCAGATTGGACTCCTGGTTTGTTTCACGCTAGAGGGCAGGGATGCGATTAGTCCCAGGGCAGGTCTGGGAAGGAGGTTTGAAGTGAGTTTATGACAAAGGCGTTCGAAGAGCTGGGCAGAGAAATGCCTATTCATCATCTGAACGCCCTAGGGCACAAGACAGTTGACAAAAAAGCCCCTTCGATTGCTAGTATCTCACACATCCAAAGATCGCACAGACAGCACTGTGTGCATCCATACATTCCATACCATGACAACCTGTGTTCACGTAGCAAGAACAACAGGTTGCATTAGGAAAAAGGACATGGCTGTACAATAGACTGTATGTTCATCAAGAGCATTAGGCAGCTAAATAAGAACCCAAGAGTCACAACAAGGGTGTAACCCTTTAAACCTGATGAGAAAACCAATTAACTCTAAACAATCTCTACAAAAGCCAGGATTGGTGTGTGTGTGTGGCATTGATGTACAGACTGCACTGTGTGGAGGAAGGAACTCCAGATCTCATGATTACAACTGCAGGCAGCACATAATTCATCTTTTAAAAAAAAAACAACCTGGTGCATCAGTCTGGTTGCGTTAAGAAAGGAGTACAAATTCGGGCGACCCGTACGCACTGCCGTACACTACAGACCCACACTGCTCTTCGACTCTGGCTCCCCAGCTCTCCCCAGCACACCCCGACCGCCTCCGGAGCGATTCTCACGCAGCCCCCACAGGCCTGGGGCAGGGGCTCTCCTGTCTTGGTGCCTTCAAAAGGAGGAAGCAATCTGCCGATGGTGTTCAGATAATACAGAGAATCAGGAAATCAAAGCAGTGCCTCAGCCAACGTGATGTGGAAGATAGGAGCATTAGTTTGATGTTACAGATAAACTCAACAG